CCTCCGTACTGCAGAACATGAAGAGGTAGTTCAGGGACTGAGTCAGGTGTGTTGGAGCAGAAACATGTAAAACATGAATGGCTGCGGCCCTCCAGGACCATGACTGCCCACCCCTGCCTTTAGTCCTCCTGCCCCCTAACGTAAACCCCCCACAGGGTCTCCTGACTGAGCTAACAGGGTCCTGCAGACGTGTGGAGCAGCTTCTGGCTTCAGCTGCAGTCAGACCACAGAACCAAATAATCCTCTCCTCCTGCACCATGACCCTGTCCTCCTCTGGATGTTCTGCTCTGATTTATCTCCTCTCCTTTCAGAAGCAGGACCAAGTGAGAGGATTTCGGACCCTCAGAGAGTTCCCGGCTCCTCAWCATGGACCAGGTCCGGCCCGTGGCAGAATGCAGCTGTGTTTAGAACCTGACAGCTGGTCCTAACGTCTGCTTTGTTCCTGTTTGCTTTAGAAGACCAGGATGTGAGTGTGAGAGCAGCCGTCTGCAGCTTGTTGTCCAACATCTACGCTGAGCAGTCCGACTGTGAAGGAGCCGTGAAGCTGCTGGACAGAACCATCAGAGGCCTGCCGAGCTCCGCTCATCGACGGTGAGTGTTTTCAGAGCTGTTATTAACACTAATATAACTCATTACGTGTTTATTTCTGTTCTTTCAGACGCCTGCTGAAGCAGCGTCTGTTGCTGAAGGCTGCTCAGGGAGGAAGCATCGACGAGGACATGCAGAGCCTGCAGGAAGGAGAGGCCTTCTGTTCCTCGGTGTGGCACCAGGTGGCGCTGTGTGGCGGCGGCTCGTTGAACCAGAGGCTCCACTGCTACCTGAGAGCCATCACCTGTGTCACAGTAGGTGTTTCTGCACCCCCCACAGTCAAATGAGAGCTCCTACAAATTAAAAGCTCAAACAGATGTTCAGATTATTTTGTAGATATAAAATGTTTGCACAGTTCATAAGAAACTGTGTAAATATTAAATAAACTTAAATACGTGCCATCACATTCTGCTGTAACAAAATGTGATCAATGAGCAGCATTTGTAACAACTTTAATATTGTAATATCTATGATTATTTATTAACAATAGTTCTATGTAACTGTGTCTATTTTATTTAAAATTTATTTTACTACAATTTTTATTAGTCAATGTTGTTATATATTTTTACTATCTTTTGAGTTGAAGAATTCCAATGAGCTTATACTGTAATGTAATTGTGCAAATGGTAATAAATTCWATTCTATTCTATAAAAATACAAATTATTTATTCTTCTTGTTTCTGTGCAGCTAGTTTCCCTAACTCTGCTTTACCCTTTAAATAAGACAAACTGTGGAGAATGAGGCAGTTAATCTGTCTCCTGTGTAAAATCCACTGAACCTATTCACTTAATTTAATTTAAATAAATCCATAAATCAATGGAGTCATGTGGGAAACTATGGGTTTTTAAAATGAGAAAATCTAAAATAGTCTTAAATGAACGCAGGCGGTTTTCAGGATATTTAAAAGTCTCTGACTCCATCCTGTGGACCCAGCAGGTCAGCACGGTTCTGTTTTCAGCCCGGCTCTC